CAGTTTTTTGCACGTCAGCATAAAATGTAAATGGCTAAATGTCTTAAAAACTCTGTCAGCTCTTTTAAAGGTCATATTTGAATTCAGTACCTCAGAATCCATAAAAATTTGCATATTTCAATTTGGAAGCAGAAACCTTCATCGGCAAGTGGACGCATTTATCAGCAACAAAGATTAGCCATTATTTGTCACTGGCCAACTGTGTATAGTTCAGAGGCCCTGGGAGTTTTGATTGCTCACAATAAAACCAGCAGTTTGAGGTAAGTGACACAGGACTGACCTATATCTGTTACAGTTTGTGCACCAGGCAAAGAAAATACTGAGATTTTTAACATTTTAAAGGTTTGAATTAAATTGAAATTACTTTGTTATAATGTTTCTTTTAAATGCAAAATTGGCAATAGGCCCTTTTCACACCACAGGTGTTACCATTAACATTACCTAGCCTTTTCAAGTGGCATGGAATCAATGTTGTTGTTCACACCTGTGCTTATCCAGGCTTAAGTTTGGTGCCACATGTTGGTAGGTGTGTTAATTTGGCTGTCAGTCCTGCAGCTATGAAGACATCCGCGGTTAAAAAAAAAACATCTCTACTGTTTTCTCACTGCATCTAACAAGAATTATTCCTATGTCTAGCATGCCTTGCCAGGTACTTGGGGTAAGACCAAAATGCACAACAAAAACACACATGTTCACAATCTTTAGTGACTAGTCACAGCTGCCAAATGTGCTGTAGCTGAGTTAAACATCTTGATTTTTCACTCCAAAGGCGGAAAATTAAAATGGAGGGAAGTGCACCCACATATTATTATGGCAGTCAGTTAACATTTAGAATAAACTGGCATACAAAAGGCACACACACAGTGAGGGAGCTGGGTGCTGCCCTCACATAGAGATGCACTGCGAAGGAAGAATGCATTTGTAATGAAAAGCCTAGTATGTTGAAATCAATAAATAATTGAACTCTGGGAGGAACAGGATGAGTGTGTGCCTGAGTGTGTTCCTGATGGTGCCCCTGTGTGTTTGCATTTATGTTTTCTGGCATTTATGTGTGTCCTGTGTGTCTGCGCATGTATCCTGAGCTTTTTTTTTTCCTTGCTTTCAAATAATTAGCATTTGGGTGTTCGACACGGTGGAGCAGCTGACTGGACAATACTGTACACATTCATTAATTTACTTTGGCTAAACAGAATGTGGGCATTTTAAAGAGAAGAAACGCAACAAGAATAAATATCAAGAGCGCCCCTTTACCCAGATTACACACTTTCCTTTTATTGTTCTGTATGTAGCCAAACATGGTGACTCAAAAAATGAATATGAAGTATTCAAAGATATTCTGGTCATATTTCACACTAAAATAATATGCTTATGGTTGTGGCCCTTGTTAGTACAACTCGGCAGCACATGACTCGAACCTAAGCTTTCAAACTCTTTAATGTCTATGCTGCTTCTTGCTAATTCAAAGATAACCACAAATTTTGTAGCGTTGCATCCACAGGAAGAAACGATCCAATGTCTGTAAATACTACATGACCTTTTTATCTCATCTCAGCAGGCTCATGCTGTGCAAATGGAAGGTGGGTTGATTTAGTTGACTTGGGTGTCAGTGAAATCAGAGGCTCCCATATACCCTCCTTCAAATGAGATGGTTCCTTTGGAGAAATGAAGGTTTGGGTGAAGACAAGACTGGCAAGTACCTGTTTCACAAATGTGTCCATATTAGATGGCATTGACCTGGAGAAAGCACTTCTATGACAGTTTTTACATCACAATAACTTTATTTTATGATGGTGTAGGAATGTAAGATCAAGGTCACCCTATATTTACTGATGGTTCGTGGCTGCTATTCACCAAAATTGTGCACACTTTTCTGTAGTCAATAAGATCTTTTCAGCTAATTCTAAAGGCATGGTTTTAGCCCACTCCACTGTGACAGGTTCATTGACTAAAATTAAGTTGCACTTTGATTTCAATCTTTTGGACCAGTGTTAGTTATGTCTAGCTTACTCTAGCAAACCTCACTGTGCTGTAGGAAGCATGAAGGCTGGAACAGACACACACTCCCAAATGCAACTATACTCTGACCCACCACTTCAATAGTCACACCTGTACAATTGTATTTGCTTCAGTACAACACTTTCACCTTAACATCTGTGATGATGAAGCTCAAAATGTTTGTTTTTGGTGAAATTGTCATAAATGTATAAATTCAGTTGTAAGTTTTAAGTCTCTTGTATGGAGCTGAGGAAGACAAAAAAACAGCCGCACCTCTAAATATAATGTAGTCCAGTACAACACCACCTTTAACTGACCTCAATAATAAACATATAATTGAATTTATACATTTATGAAAGTTTCACCAAACATTTTGAGCTTCATAAACACAGGCGTTAACATGAAAGTGTTACCCTGAACTGCATACAATTGTACAGGTGTACCTAATAAAGTAGCCAGTCAGTGTAGCTTATACCAACGTACGACTCCATCCCAAAACAGAGTAAGGCAAGAGTGCACACATACTGTACACACATACACAGCAAGAAAAAGTAAGTGGAGAATTTGGAATTACCTGGTTCACATGCTGTAGTCATAAAATGTGGTCCAATCTTCACCAAAGTATGTGCTTAAGCTAATATAGCACACAAAATTCAAATTTTTCATGTCTTGAACTCGGCCATTCAACATTCAATATGCTGGTGGAAAACTATGCGAACCCTTGGATTTAATAACTGATTAAAGCTCCTTTGACAGCATTAACCTCAAACGAACACTTCCTGTAGCTGTGGATCAGACCTGCGTAATGTTGAGGAGGAATTTTGGACCACTCTTCTTCACAGAGCTGCTTCAGCTCAGACATATTCCTAGGATGTCTCGTGTGAATGGTTCTCTGTGCTTATTCTACAGCATCCCTGTTGGGTCGAGCTCTGGGCTCTGACTGGGCCACTCCACATGGCAGATCATGGCAGATTTTTCTGCCCATGCACAAGATCTCTGGATATTCTTAGCAAATAATGGGGTTTTGTATTTCATAATGAGAAAATATGTCAAGCAGCGCTGCATCTCCCTGATGTGTTTTTAATTGTTGTTGAACATTGGAGGTCTATAGTACAAGCTTATCCAGGATTGACAGATCGACAGACATTAACAGTGAGCAGAAGCAAATCATAGTTGGTTTTAATCTCTGTATGGGGACTGTTGAAAATAATGTTAATATAGAAAATGAGCGGCCTCATCCTTTAAAGCTTGCTACAGTAGTGTTTTTGGACAGTGTCAACTCTCTGAGAAACATGTCTTCAGGTTTAATATCAAAATTAAAACATCGTCACTGTAAAGTACAGTGAAGGGAGCGCCAGGATGTAGGGCTGCTTTGCTGCCTCTGGGCCTTGACAGCTGCCATCATGGAGGGGAAAATGAATTCCCAAGTTTATCAAGGAATCCTACAGCAGTTGGGTGATGCAGCAGGACAGCGACCTTAATCACTGAAGTAAATCTATTACAGAATGGCTTTAAAACAAGAACATCTACCATGTGGAGTGGCCCAGTCAGAGCCCAGAGCTCGACCCAACAGGGATGCTGTAGAATAAGCACAGAGAACCATTCACACGAGACATCCTAGGAATATGTCTGAGCTGAAGCAGCTCTGTGAAGAAGAGTGGTCCAAAATTCCTCCTCAACATTACGCAGGTCTGATCCACAGCTACAGGAAGTGTTCGTTTGAGGTTAATGCTGTCAAAGGAGCTTTAATCAGTTAACCAAATATTAAATCCAAGGGTTCATTTAGTTTTTCCAGCAGCACTTTGAATGTTTAATGGCCGAGTTCAATAAAGACATGAAAAATTATGATTGTGAGTGTTATTGGCTTCGGCACATTGTGTTTTGTCTATACCTGTGACTTAGATGAAAATTGGATTACATTTTATGACCAAATCACGTATAAAACCAGGTCAATCATAACGGTTCACTTCTTTTTTTTTTTTTTTTCCTTGCCACTGTATACTGCAGCACACTAACAATCGACCCTGAACTCCATTTCCCTTAAAAACATGTTTTTATCACACTTTCTTTGTCTTACTAAAAACTTAAATGTCACAATTTTAATGCTGTAAAAAAAGTAGTTCATTTTCATTAAAATCTCCCACCTGGGAGAACTGACTCAGAAGCATAATGATACAGCCTATTCATCTCTAGCACTCCCTCATTCAGTCCCCTTCTACAACAGTGTTAACCTTTGTTAGCAGTTTATTACCTGTGACACCGGTCACCAGTTTCCCCAGTAATTTGCACAATTTCTAATCCCTCCTCAGTACCACATTAAGGCAATCCAACACCATTAAGACTAGTGGTCCAGGGGACATGGGAGAGGACATGAGAAAGGAGCATATCCCATATGTATTAGTATGCCATTGAGAGCAAAGAGCTGAGAGAGCTTCTCACATAAATGCACTGAGGAAACTCCCCAGCAAGATGATCATTCAGGTCTAAATTGAAACATCACCGGTAATAATTCAATAATTACGTAATGTTATTTATGATGTGAAAAATGCTTTTATGTGGCCATATTGTCCCAAAACCTCATTTCAGTCTTTGAAAAAGTGCTATTTCCTGGAGGAGAGCGTGTGGCCCGGCTTGACTGATGACTCCATACATACCAGGATACGTGATTAGAGAGAGAGTTATGGCCAGCACTTACAAACCTCTGCAGATAAATTTATGGCTGAAGTACTCGATAATGGCGGCACACCTGGGTGAACCCACAGTAAATTCCATACATGGACAACTTCTGTCCTTGAGAATTCTGTTAAGGTCGCTTAGACTCCAAAAGCAGATGCACGTTCATCTAAAGCTGCAGCACCCAATAGCTGCTGCACTGATTTATCCTCGGATGCTGTAATGTTTGTAGCGCTGCCTGTGAAGGATCATATTCATGTTTGTGTAACTTAATGCATGTAGTTCCCACAGTGGGAACACAGGCTAATTCTGAATAGACAAGTGCATTACCATTATTGTTTTTATTTGTTATAATAAGGCAAATGCAGACAGTGTGATTGCTAATGCAAACTGCACAAGTCTGTGGATTCATACAGAAAAAAATGAAAAACGCTGGCTGGAAAATAAAATATAAAAAAATAAAAATCGAAAACACAGCAACAGAACTTGCAAAATTATTAGTTGTACTGTATGTCAAGACTTTTAGTAACTGGGTTAAACCATAAAAACATGTCCCTTTTAAGGTAGCACCGCTACCCATGTTCAACCTGTATTTAACAGTTGTGTGATTTTACAATCGGTACAACTTCATTTAGAGACCGAAGACATTAACTGGTCATAAAACAAATAAACACCATGCATACTGTGCAATTAATGACATCTTTAACAACCAGAATGAAAAGCCACCATGACCTAATCACTTCCTTGATTTGTTGCTGTAAGAACAGTTCACTATATAAATGTTTACTTTGATAGCCTGCCTTAATATTTGATCTGTATACTGTAGATATCCTGCAGCATCTTCTTCTCTGAATCTAAAACAAGTCATGGTGTTTTCACCATCTTACTTCCACCCATCACACATGTTCAGATGCCTGCAGACAGACTGCAGGCTATTGTGTGCTGTGGGTTTATCCTGTGAGTGACCCGTGACTTAACCAGCTGTCACAGGGAGTGAATGGCTTGCCAGCGAGCAGCTGTGGCTTTAGTGGCCCAGTCAGGCCTGTGGCCCTCAGTCCAAGCGTCTCTCTGGGTGTGAGAGACAGAATAGTGTCAGTGTTGCTGGTGCTAAAGAGCCCGTTTGTTGATGTTGAAGATTTTGACAGAGTGGTCAGCACTAGCACTGGCAAGCTGGACCCAGGAGCTGTCCTCCTCGATTTCACTTTTTCCGCCAGTCTGTCTATCCCTCTTGTTGTTGTCTCGACCTGCTCGGCCAGCCCTGGGCCTCCAGCGGAGCCTCTTGACCGCTAAAGCATGGCTTTGTCTATGAAAGGGCAGGATGAAGGGAAACCACAGGATACTGCTCTAGATGGCAGCAAGCATTCGAATAAATACCCAAAATGCCTACTATACACTAATGTACTACTGTACCATCTCCCTCATTATCATAACCAATACTTGTTAATGTTAACCCTTTAACAAAACCCTAACCTTAAACCGAGTCGAGATTCTGAAATGTTATGATTTACGTTTTGAGACTTTCATTTTGTCCCTAAAAAGGCCAAGTCCCCACAGTATGGCTGTGTAAACAGATATACAAAGGATGGTAAATTGGTTAAACTAAATTGATTTCATAAATGACAAAGATGTGGTCTTAAGTCTTATGACAGATACAAGACAGATTCGGATCTCAAATTCCCTTCCTGAGTTCTGCAGATGATTACATATCCATTTGGGATACAACACCCACAGAAATGGACTACAGTACCTGGAGATTCCTTCTCCCATCTGCTGCCAAGCCCTAACCCAACAGCAAGTATCTGCATCTCAGCAGCTAAACTGAGGTCACGCTAATGTTGCATATGAACTGTGGTTGTGTGTGTCTGTGCTCTAAGGATACGAGGTGTCCGTTTCTCCGCAGATGCTCCAGTCGTGTCCGCCGGCGGGCTCCTGGCTGGCGCTCCACCTGTACAGCAGGATTCTGCCGCACTCCAAGCCAACTGCCAGCAGGTATCTGAACCAGAACACACCTCATGTACTACACCAGAACAAACTTTCACTGACTACATTTATTCCTATCACAAGATTGAAATTTTTTTTTTTCTCTGGGGCTTTTATGGATTCTTCTTTTAATGTGGCTGCCTGCTTTTCATGCCATGACAGATAAATCTTTATTTCCATCAGTACCATTCACTAGCTTAAGGTGCCCTCAAATGAATAAAGGTATCACAAAGACTCAGCTGGAGCAAAATAGTGAATTTAAAAATATATATATATTGTAGTGCTCTGTTTTACTATTTGTAGAGATAATTCACATGTTGTTGCTGTGAGCCATTTTAGTCATTAGCCAACTAATTTCCTCCACCCAGCTGCACTGGATGCTGCTATTAACACAGCTTTAAAAACTATTTCTTGGAATTGTACCTTCAAATTCACAAGGAGTGTGTTTACATGGACATGAGTGTCCTGATTATGGTTGGGTTTTTGAAGTATCATGTTTTTGTGTTTGTGCATGTAAACGTCATAATCCCATTTTCAGAGCCCTGGATAAATGCTTAACCTGGCTTTGAGAAACCCAAATATGCTAGGTGGGTTACTCTGAAAGAAACCAGGATGCTGCTGCATGTATACATCTTATCTAGGTTTCTGAGCATTCCAAATTATCTGTACAGGCGCAGCTGCAGCATCCAAGTGACTTAAGATAAACAGAAATGGTGTCGGTAACAGACGCACCTCAATTTTGGAGCAGTAGTTTTTGTTTTGCAATTTATTGGAATTTTGTCTTTTGGTAATGAAAGAAGTAATTGGTCATTTAGATAGAAAGCATAGAAATGCTGACCTCTTCACATCTGTAGTGGACAAGTTAGCTACAGGACGCTGATTAACGAGTGAGATCATGATGGAAAATCCTGACAAAAAATTACTACATGGCCAGACATCAAAATAGAAGAAGTGGGTCTAGTCCAATAATTTTCAAATACTGGTTAACATGCTTGGTCACTGTCTCACTTTCCACCATAGAGGACAGAGGAGTTGACATCAGGTTTCCCTGTCCAACAGATATGGTTATTAACATTAATGCCTAGGTTATCCTCAGTCTTTTCCATTAAGAAAAACAAACATACAGTTGGGAAACATTTTCCTAATTATGAATTCATATTGATGGATACAGAAGATGACAGAGCTGAGGAGGCTGAAGGTTTAGTGGTCATCAGTAACCAGTAGTTAAGATGTATATAGGGATATGCATACTCTGATTTCTGTGTTCCATGTAAACACCACATGTCGACTACAATCAAAACTGAGATATTCTTAATGACCGTGATACTCATGTCCATGTAAACACACTCCCTGTGTTTTCAGGGGTCAGGAATTAAGTGAGATTCAGATGGTAATTTTTGTAAAAGCCTTCAACACAGACAACCATATGACCAGTAAGGTGATGCCTTTTTATAAATTTGGCCATAGCACAAAAATTAAATAGAAGGTTGAATGTGTGTGTGTGTGTGTATACCTGTTATCACAGCAGAGCTCAGGACAGAACGCCACAGCAGTAGCAGAATCACCCACATCCAAGATGGAGGAACAGGGTTTAATATCAAGTAGAAGCGCAGGGTCTCCAGAGTCCTCAAATCTGCATGGGCCCCACACTATCAGCTGGACACACACACAAAAACTTGAATGAGAAATCAAAAAAATAGATATCAGTTTCATGCCAGTTTATCATCTTCAAAAAACATTGACAGGTGTTTCGGTCAAGGCCTCGTGCTCACTGTCCAACAATAAATCAGAAAACTTAAGGTGCACTAGAAGTTGAACCAAGCAAAAAAAGAAAAGCCTTTGGGTGCTCTTAGGTGGAGAAAGAAATATGTACCCTGGTTAGGTCGAAACAGTCTGTGTTTTATACACCCGATCAAATAAAGGCTTTTTATCATATTCCTTGCTCCACCCAAAGGAGTGCCTGAAGGTTTTTCTTTTTTTTATTTTAATGAATGAACCCAGCATCTGAAAATTACCTTCTTATCCCGACTTGACGTCACAAAATATTTGCTGTCAGCGCTCCAGTCACATGACCAGATGATTCGGGTGTGTATGGCTGTGTCCTTCCCTGTGCGTGCGTGCAGAGAGAACTGGGGCTCTGCATGGAAACAAACAAGAACCGAGATTAGATTAAAAAAAAAAAAATAACTGTTCAAACTCAGAAGTCTTATTTATTACTATTTATTTCATCTATACAATTTTTGAAAAATGATATAGCAGTCGAACGTTTCCCATGATGGTAACATGACATCAGCATGCGGAAGTTGCTGCCTCACTGCTCTGTAGGAACAAAGTCACGCGAGTGACAAACAACCCAACAAGACAGAGCACCTCATTCCAGCCCTCTATTTCAGTCAGCTTTAGTTTATGACTTGCTGCTGTTTATTTCCACAGCCTGAGTCATTTCAGACCCCAGATTGGTTTTCCCCAGAGATCTTGTTTGTATGCTGCTGGCAGCTGCCTGTCTGTGCTTCCGCACTAATGCTGCTCTCCACTGGCACACACACATATACACACACACACATACACACAATAGAACCAGTATGTACACGCAGCCGTAAAACCATAGTGTTACCACAAAAGTCTGAGTTAACCACCGTGTCGTGTCTGTCTGTACGCTCACAGCACTCTCCTTCTGCAAAACGCACACATATTTAAGGGTGGGTTGTTTAGGGCACACAGGTGCTGCACCTCCACCTCCTTCCATTAATGCTCTCATCTGAGGACCCTGAGGGGCACGACACTATAGGATAGGCTATTCAGTCCAACTACACAGATGGAAACCAGAGACAGAGTAAAAGAGGAGACATGATCAGTTTAGTCGCAAAACACATCACGGGGATAAAAGAGTGGCACATAAGAGATAAGGGTACTTAGACGGAAAGCTGTACAAAAAACAAAGAAAAGGGAAGAGAGAGAAGTTATTTTAATGCAGGTGTCAGAGTGCTGGGCCCATGAGAAAGAAGCAGATGGAGGGAGGGGGATGTGGAGAGACAGCAGGTACGAGGAAGAGAAGTGGTGATGACAGAGGGAGTCCGTTTGTTAGATCAGCTCCGACTTTGTTTAACCTTCCCTGGTCTGGCCTTTTAACACTGCCTGTGTGTTCTTGACACGCACAGTCACCTTGACTGATTCAGCAGCCAACCTGAGCAGACAGGACCTCCCAAACACACCATCCTGCCTCTCTGCACTCCACCATACAGGCAAACAACAGAGTGCAGAACTGGTTAGCCTCCATCAGTGCCCATTAAGACCAATCCTGATGTGTCACCAGGTGCAGGTGGGAGGTTAAATGTCAAGTCCCCCTCAACTTGGACGCAGGATCGGGTTATTTGTCTGAGATTCTCGCTCTCTCTCTTGTTTACAACAGGGGCCCAGCAGGAGGTGAATGGAGTTTGAGGGCACTGGCCAGTACAGGTGCTGATCCCATATCAGTTCTTGGTTTTCTGTTAGCTCCAGGATTTTAATTATGTTCTTTCTTCTAGAATGATTGTGGCAGCTTTTCTGTATTGACAGTGACTAAGAAACAGTTTAGCGTGAATAGATCACATGTGGCCCATGTTGATAAAACCTCTCAAAACTGACAGTGGTGAATCGTGTGAAAATCTCCAGTTTAAAGCAATGACAACCCAAAGTATACATGGGAGGGTGGCACAGTTAGTGTGGTCAATTTACATAAATATGCAGAGGAAAATCTGGTTAAATTTAAAATTAAATAAATAATCCATCCTTTATCAGCTCTGTTTTGGCTCTTCACAATATTAACCGAGGGAGTCCTTCCAATTAGGACAGCTTGAATCTGATTTGGAACAAATCTGCTCAGTGGGTTTACCTTATTTTAATTAATTAGTATTATTGAAGCTGGTGCTGTCTGCCAGTAGGCTCCAATATAGTCTCTGTTTTGAAATTCTCTCAAACATATTAATTACATTTTTTTTTCAAAGCAACATGAAAAGCTATCTCCCACTAAGCTGTAGTGCATCTGAAAACAAAATAAGGAGAACTCCAAACATAGTATCCTTTAAGGTGGACCCCTCAGTGTCCAGTGTCCATCCCCCCCCCTTCTCACCAGGACTTTCAGGTGTGGGCAGGTCCCGTCTCCATAATGACCAGGTACGATCACGAGAAACAGCCAACAGGAATTGTGTGTCAGGTGAGAAGGCCATCTGGGTGACGGTGAGGGTGTGGCATGGCAGTGTCTGCAGCTGATGCCATGTTGTCGTGCTCCACAGCAGCACTGCTGCATGCTCGGATTTAGATGCCTGGAAAGACAGTTGAGATTAGTTGCATCTTTAAAAATCCATGTGCTGGAAAAAATAAAAAGTGGGTTGAGGGACAGGGATGGTCATGGTAGGAAATAACAGGAAACATGATTGTGAGGGGAGATAGGTGTAAAGCAAAGAGGGGCAGAGGAAAGAGTTGCACAGGAGTTGCAAGGTTTTAGAGAAAATGGGAGAAGTTCTTCCACCAGAAAGTTCCTGGTACTTTTTGTTCCCAGGAACTAAACTCCTGGGGTAAAAGTCACTTAAGCGCATTATGATTTGGATTTCACAGCAGGGCTGAAGCCTTGGAAAGATTAGACAAATTGATTACTGATGTAAAAGTGTTACCATCGGCAGCGGGGCGTTAACTAGTGCGCAGTATTTAGCCAATCAGCAACATTCAGCAAAGCAGTCTTTGCTCCAATAGTTTTTGGACCCTCTGAAAGTACTACGCCCTGACTAGGGACTTCTTTTTGGAAGACAGACAACACACACATACAGTATATGATGGCTACCAGCTGTGTCTGTACCTCTCTCTGTACAACCAAGGGCAGGACAAGGCACGTGTATCAGTACCTGACTGACAGCAGCATTGAGTGTGTGTGTGTGTGTTAGGGTGTGAATATGTGCATATACATCATGGTGCTCTATCTTCTCCGATCTAAAGCCCTTTGCTGAGGAGGTCATGTAGTTCACACTGTGGCACGGTCTCTGTCTTTGGTCTCATCACACTGACCTTGCATGCGGATGCCACCACCATCCTGGAGCTGTCAGATGCTAGACAGAACATCTCAAAGCCATGGCCGTACCTGGAGGACGCAGAGGACAACAGTCACACAGAGATAAATCACAAGCAGGAACACTGAATATGCGGAGGGACACAAAGGACCCGAAAGACAGACACAACACAGACAGGGCGCCAAGTCTGACAAAGTATCCTGTTATTCCTCAGCGTCACCCTGACAAGCTTCCAGACTCAAACCATCTCTGCTTGTTGACAGGTAAATAAGCAGACAGAGTGTGAAATTAAAATACTGATTTGCAATGACTGGCTCTTCTCCTGCTGTCAGAGATGAACAATGAATATGCTCCAGCTAATCACTCTCAGCCTAATTACTTTTAGCTTGCTGACTATCGCCTGGTTGCTTTAAAATCATCAACAAAGTGAAACAGAAATCACATTTCTCCCCGACCAGGAAGCTTTCGAACGCTGCAGCAATTTGGTCATGACAGTGCGACTATTATTTATGCCACAAAGATAATTTGGCCACTTACTCATTTTAATGTTTCTATTAGGTACTAAATCTTTCAAGGTATTGAAGCCAAATAGAGGTAGAAAAATGCTTTTCGACACGCACAATACTCACACCTTGAATAAATGGCCACGCCATATGTCATATTTGTGGCAGATTGACTGGTAAATGGATTTAACATTGGCCACAGATGGATGCAATCTATTCAGCCTGGCGAAGAGGCTCATGGGATGGCAAGAAGCTGGACACTGATTGGCTGATAAATACAAGAAGGGGACCAACAGTCTGGGGAATTTCATTATTTTCAGACACAGTAAACCCTTTGGACAAAACCAAACAAACGGTTCCATTTGGAAATGTTGCTTCATTAAGAGAGACATGGAAACTCTGACACCTTTATAGGGAGAGGAAATATATACAATGGAAATACGTTGTGGAGATTCTGGATATTGCTTCTACTAGCAGGTAACTGAAACTTGAGACAAGCTGAGTGGGTTTGGATACACTGCTAGAGGGGAAACACTTGAATACTCACAGTTTCTGGACCTCGGGCCACAGTGTGTTCTGGAGAAGATGATCCTCTGGTGGCGGCTCTGCTCACACACACACACACACACACACACACACACAGTAAACTACAGAATCCTTACATAACTCATTTACAAAACCATGAAAACTGAGCCGTTTTAAAATTCAAATACAGCCAGTTTCCAATTTGCTAGATGAGAATTACACCCACGTGGCTTTTATAATTAACCTCTTCTAAATCCCTGTACTGTTAACCCATAAAAGTGACAGTGTGTGCATGAGACAGGCATGGTTGAAGTCAAGTCAAAGGGGGAAAATAAGAGTTAATTCCATAAGGACAGACAGAGTAAGCTGCATAGTAGACTGAGAACATGATTGAACACCTTAACACAATGTTCCCTCACATTCCCAGCTTCTTTAGCAACATGCTACTTGCTTCTTTTCCCCTAGAAAAGCCATTTTGGAAAAAAAACTACATCTTTATTTCCAATTCTTAATGGCTGCTGGGTTTGAGGGGGATCAGATCTAGCTGTCTGCCTTTGCATTGCATGTAACTGAAAACTACACGGCTTGTGTTTTTCTTACCGATCGACTTCCCATTTTGCCTAATTATTCATTCGTCTCCTGCCTGCGGAAACCAATCAAAGGAGTGAAAATGCATTGTTAACAACAGTCTCTGCACTTGGCTGCTCCCTACATAGCCCGGGGTCATCGATACTTAAACTTCGCATTCACATAAGCCTGCTTTCTAATTAGTATTGCAGATTAAGGAGTGGCTTCAATCATGCTGATGACAGCCCTTCATACCCTCTAGCCCAGGGGTTTTAAAGCACTGTTACACATTCTCTTCATGTCATTCTCATACATTTCTCATCTGCCCAGTTTCCTACAGTTAGTTTCTCTGAGTTTTCCCTTGTTTCTTGTTTTTCTCTGTGTCCTCTCTGCACATCACTTCAATGCCATTTCCCTTCACATACCTGTCTCCACTGCCTCACTCCCCTTAGCTTTTTAGTTTTTCAGTTGTGGTCTTTTTGTGATAAGAACCTGCAAATTTCCTGTCTTATTCCTGCAGTTCTGTACTTCTACTCACATGACTGCTTGCTATCAAGTAGACTTTAGGCACCATGGGAGTGGAGCAGGGCAAGAGCCAAGTGATGCGATTATATAAAATATGCCAACATTATGAGGTCTCATGGCTTATGCTTAAGTATTATTACGTGTCAGATGGACCCAAAGGGAGATATGAGTAAAGCATAGCAATGTATAGGCCACATACTACGGCGCCTGCTGAGCATCAGCAGTGGAGGTAGATGTATAGGGTTCATCTGTAGTTTTGTCCATAGTCAGAGTTTTAATTTTACATACATCATACTACTGCTGGAACCAAAAATGTCTAAGTCATTATTTAAACACCAAATGTAAATATCTTTGTTCAGTTTGCACTGGGTGTGTCCTAAAACTGGATGGATTACTTATCAGGAAGGGTTAAAGTAGATGTGGGTTTACTCAGACCACTACCATGTGATGGGGAAAAAAAGACGTATTGGAGAAATACTTTCTGGAGCTTTATAGTACCGGTCAGGTTGAGCGGGTGGAAGGAGGACTCCTGGTACTGATCAGATATGCTGTTGAACTGCTCCTTGCCTTCACTGATTTTTGGGACAAGGTCACCTGTAAATTAAAATCCCATTTTTATAAACACTTTTTACTATTATATAAAAGTAATGAAAATACTGAATGGGCTGTAGAAATCTTCAATTTAATAGGGGACAACTGTCATGAAAATTGATTATCAGACCAACCTTGGCCACAACCTGAGCACCGAGTATTTTACCTTGAAATACAGCCTTGTTGGACAGACCCAGGGCAGGTGTGCTGGCTCCTTCTGGAAGGGTGGCAGAGTCCTGGCAGTGAGCAGATAAATGAAGGAGAACGGAGACAAACATCAATAAGTCTGCAGGGCTTTTAAGATGAGTGGGCAGTCCACTCAGCACACTGCTAGAGAACAGAGGATGGAAAAATTTGGTAAGATCTTGATCTTGGACAGAGGGAAAACATGAATTTGGAGGTCATGGAATGAATCAGTTGACTATTTCTATACCTGGAATAAAAATGACTTAAATGTACAGTATAATGACAGATTATTAATTTAACTTGGCACTCACACTGGAGGCCAGCAGCTTTTCTCTTGAAGTCCCTGAGATGTTAGCAAAGTTCTCCACAAAGTTCCGAGGTGCTTGAAAAACTCGCAGGACCTTCTCATCAGCTCCAGACACAAACTGAAACCTTCCAACCATGGCCAGACATTGCATGTCATATCCATGGATCTGTGGCCGTGAGAGTTCATGCCAGGTTGGCTGCAGGGTAATAAAGACACAGAAGGATTTTATTAAGATGCTAATCTAACCATGAAGATCCTAACCAGCTACATATGGCTGCCAGGGTAAGTGCCAGCGTTTCAATAAATCTCTGATGTTGTGGGACTGGGCTTCTTGGCCCTAAATCCAAGTGTTTGAAACCAAGCCAAATGCAACATTGACTCTCCTGTTCAAGTGTTGTTCAGTGTAACATTTCCTGCTTAAGATGCAAAGTGTTCTCATGAGGGATGATTGGAGGGCTACCCTACAAAGGCTGGATTGTGTGGGTTGCATAACCCTTTCCTATGATGTTAGCATTCATTTCAAAGAGCGTCCCGCAGTACTGCCAGGGGTGAACAATCAATCCCACAAAGTCTGGAGTCCTTACTTCAAGAATATATGATGGCCTCTAAGAAACCCTTTATTATTAAGTCACAGCCTACTAAAATTCAATCAGAAAGAGAGCCTAAACATGTTTCAGCAAATGGCAGCAAGCAGAATATTTATTAGGCACTGACTATATCCCACAAAGGTCACCACAGCTGGCCATTGTTAAAAAGAGAGAAGCATACCAAGTAGCCATTGCTTATAGGAGACTAGAAGAAATAGAGGGGTAGATAATGTGAATGGCAAAACATTCCTAAATCCAACTGTCAGCATGTGTAAACCATGACCTCTGTTATCTATGTTTATACTAGAGTAACTTTCCTTTTAAGATCTCTAGTTGTATTAGGGCATTGTGGGTATTACCACACATCAGTGACCACTAATGGATTTACAGAATATTTGCCTGTGTGGTTAAGTACCTTAAATTTTCAGGTATTTGATTCACTGGATTAGCCAAAAACAGGCATTTCCATCTGGATAGTGTGTCTCATTTCTAACTAGAAAAGGTAAAACATTTAAAACCACTAACTAAAAACTACATTTGAGTTATTATTTTCTCCTACTTCAACACGTTATAGCTGATTCTGAGCCTGTTTTACCTGTTGGGCATCTTGTTTCCTCCATGGAGTGAAGAGTCTGGTGGTCTGGTCTGAGCCCACGCTGAGGATGAACTCACCCTCAGGATCCCAGCTCAGGTCCTGGACTGCATTGAAGTGACCTGATATCACAACCCCAGGTCTCCACTCGCCCTAAGCAGAGTACTTAGTTTACAACTTTCAATCACAGAATTTTGTATCCCCACCCCCCCGATGGCCACCAACCCTGCCACATGATGTTAAGCCCCATGATTAGCTTTTCTGATTGGCAATCACATGAGAGTAGCTGATTACAAATTAGGTGTTGCTGTCTACAAAGTCGATCTGTGTTGAAACATCTGAATTCATTATCAGCTCCTTCAGGTTTGTGCTGAACTTTAAATTCACCTGCCAAGTGGGCGTAATTGAAATGGAGTTATCTCTGAACTTGTGTTGTGACTTCAGTCCCTCGCTCTTTCTCAGGGACACCCAACAAAGACATCTACTAATCCAGTCAAAATGAGTGGCAGGCAGGAGACTCGGAGAGACTAATTACACAAATCACCGCCTCTTACACACTATGTAGCAAGACTAAGATGGAATCTCAGTCTACTACTAAAAGTCAAATATTTCTAATGCAAAGCAAAGAAACAATCCTAACATGTTTTGTAACTGAATCAACAATAAAAATACTGACATTATATTGATCTGTAACAAAGGCAGTGACGCTCACTTCTTTGTCTTGGTCCTTGCACCAGAGATGTAACGCTCCATGAAAAGCATGAGCCACAACCATTGAGCCATCTGGACTCATCTGGCAGCCGTAGAAACCCAGAGTGTTTCCACCAACCTCTCCGACACGCACCTGGTGTGGAAAAAACAAACAAACAAAAAAAAAAAAAAACCACGGTGGTGTTGGTCAGAACTAACATCTGCCTTTTCAAAACAGTCATATCTGTCATTAGCTGGGTGAAGACTGTTTTGTTTCTGGGTCAGTCACTAACCTGCTACAGAGAAAAGTGAAAGTAACTTGTAACATCATACAGTAAATGTACATCAGCCACTACATACATTACTAGTCAAAGGTCTGGACACACTTTCCCACTGAAGTAGGCTGTTTTTCTTAAAATGCAGCTATTTAGTACCTGCTCTCATCCTGTATACAGACATACAGTACACTCCTCTGTTCGCTTCCCATAAACAGGGATTTACAGAAAAGGGCGGGAGTTGGGGCTGTCAAACTGGTTGTCTGATTTTTTTTTTTTTTTACTAATATTGGTGGACAGAGGCAGAAAAACTGCAAATTAAGATGACAAGTCAAATGAGAAATTATGCAAAATGGGTTTCATTTCAGTTGAATAAACTGTTGTTTTTTTCAATCACAATAAATGTATCTAATACAAAATGAAAGCAACTGCAGCACAACATATCATATTAAACAATCATGAAAAATGGCAAAGAGAACAAAGAAAGATTGCCACAAATTGGATTTGGGTGAGAGCCTGTGACCCTTGTGTCAGGTCCAGGAAGATCATACAGACAGTGTAAGCTGTCCACTGGGTCTGAGGTACATTGTGTATTCAAATCACTACCTGGAGCAGAGATCCGTTTCCAATTTACAGTAAGTGCAGTTACCGATTACAATTACAAAAAATGTAACTCTGAGGTCATTCTACGTTACTTAAACGTTTTCTTTAGAGTGGAGAACCCAGGTAAACAGACGTGTAGGAGGTAAAACAGAGGGTTAAAACTAAAAACACACTGTTCAACCATCATAAAACGCCTCTCATTAATTCTAAAAATGTAAAAGGGGGTTGCTGTATTCATTCGTCCTTTCAAGAGAACATAAATTACAAACTGCAATAGAGGAAACGAGACAATATCACATCTTGTTGCTTGCATAACAAGTAGGATCCGAGGCAGGAAGGGGGCTAGACAAAAATTATCTGAGATGATGTGGAAATTAATTGAAATATTTACAATCTGGATAAACAAGGCCCCTTGTTTAAGCCACAACTATAACTGGCTTGTACAAGGAAAATGAGAGTCTTGTGAGATTATACTTCAATACTTAACCAGTCAGATATTTACTCAAGGATTTTCACAGTATTTTGTGGAGCAGACCAACTTCTCGCTGCCCATAAGGAATTCAAACAATTAAAAGCTTTATCGGGCCCTGAAAGTAAACTGGGCCCAGAGGGGAGATCCATTCAAATTGATAACAGGAGAACCAATCCTAGAGAGCAGAACACCGCTACCTCAGCTCCACTGTGGTCTTTATTCAGATATGGCTACACTAATATCTTCTCCATCTTTAATTAGCTTGTGCTTTAAATGATATGGACATTGGCTGTGAGGAACTATGAGATGTGGTAAATTCATATTCAAATAATTCAAATCTGAGACGATGTACAGCTTAGTCTGTATCTTTTCTCAAAGCGGGAAGTGAGAGCATGTTTCTCCTGCAGCAGTGACTGCAGGAGAAACACGTAGGAATTTTGGTCCATCCATTACATGTTAAACAAACAGATTAAATGGCTTCACACAAACACACACATTATATCTGTCTACTGCATGTGGCAGTAAAGTGGTGTCCTCAATCATTCAGCCCTCTTAGGGGGCTTGTGTTGGTCATCAATGACCTTCAAAATAATGCCTGTCTGCAGGCTATAGCACAGCGGAACTGATGACAGCGATAAAGGCACGCCTTTACTTTGAATGCCATGATCCTCCAGCCATCCAGAGAGAGAGAGACAGACAGACAGATAGGTAGAGACACTGAGAGGGAATAAGATGCAACATTAAGCAGATTGATTTTAAAATTCTGCACACAAGAGATTGCCGTATATCATGCAAAAACTCACAGAGGCAAAAAGTCATCATCTGTCTTGTTTATGAGAGGGGGGACAATATGGATGCACTGCGTGTCTTATCGCTGGCCAGCGAAGGTGTGGTGGAGGAACAAAACAAGGACAGCGAAGAAGGGCAGGCATATATCATTCTTGGAGGAAGAGGAAAAGGGTCGCGAGCACTGACTGAGCTTTGCCAAGTTGGGAAAATACATACAGGTTTCAACTTTTCTGGCTGGAAATACTGACCGGCATCTCTGCTCTTCAGTTTCTCTTGATGATGAGATGTACAAACTGAAATATGCAATTAAAGACTATTTTAAACACCTGCTAATCTGTTGATTTCAACTGATTAATCCTCAGTCGTTTAGTCTATAAAATGTAAGAACATCCTCTATGCTCAAGTACAGTTTTGAGGTATCTGTACTTTGCTTGAGTATTTTCATTTTCTACTACTTCATACATTGACTTCACTACATATCAGAGGCAAATATTGTTCTTTTCACTCCACTACATTTATAACTTTAGCTACTTTTCAGAACCTAATTGACAACAATCACAGTATAATCATGAGACTTTAAGGGTCTCTGGTGGAAAATATACAATCTCCGCAGGAGTATGCAAAGTACTTCAAATGATAAGCATATAAGATGGTTAAAACTAGCTCCAGCATTACCAGCTGCAACATTAAATGTGATGTACACAATAATATGATTATTATTCATGTTAAATGTGCCATTTTGCATAATGAGTACTTTTAAAAATGTAAGTATATTTTGGTGCCAATACTTTGTACTTTTATTTAAGCAACATTTTGAATGCAGGGCTTTTACTTGTAACTGAGTATTTTTAGACTGTGGTATTGTTACTTTTACTTAAGTAAAGGATCTGAATACTTCTTCCACCACTGTTGCACTGTTTTATAAACTATTAATACAAGTATGAAACAATAGTTTAGGCTGCAATTAAAGTTTCCATTAGACTATACTAAAAGGAAAACCAAATACCTTTGAAGAGGTTTGGGACATTTTTACTGCTTTAGTTAAATCTGTAGACTTTCAAGGTGATGATGAGGAGGAATAAATGCTCCTTGATGTAAGCGTTGCTTTTTTTTCCCCATAGACAATGATTACATGAGCTAACTAATTATCTGATCATGTATTGCTTTATTGGGGATTAGCAAAGTACGGAAAAACTGTTTTATGTCTGGCAATAAATGTTTTCTTGGTATTCGATGTCATTTGTTTGTTTTTAAATGCCTTCACGTGTTTTTTCCAAGCATAAGAACCTTAAACCAGATCCTGCTTTCAGCCCAGCGAATCGCTGGCTCAGCTACTTACAACTGCTAAATTTTCTTTCCACAGAGTAATCACTTTACTAAATTAACACCCATTTAAGCAATAAACAACTCCCCCGTACCATCCAATATTTACCAGCAGTCGCCCAATTTAAAAATATGAACTCATCTTGGTGTTAGTGGCTTTTCCCAACAGCCAAGAGAGTACAAAAGCTGGTGACTGAAAATAAGTTCTCTCTCCAGCACACACAACCTGACAACCCCTTCAGGCATTGCAGTGCCCTGCTGTGGTCAGTCTAACCTGTTAATTACCAGCATGTCTCGTTAGTAAGATGTGCTTTACGCTGCGGTGGGCTCCGGCCACCCCACTGCTAACCCCACTCTCCATTAAATCTCACCAATTACTCTAATCAGTGTGAAGAAGTGGAGCACTTCTTTGTAAAACTCAGCTAATTAAGACACACAGGGCTGGTCATTCAGCGCTGAGGAATCTGCTTTGCCAAAAACTTCAGTGTCCCACAGAAAAGCCTTTGTTAGGCCTATTCAGGTTACGGGAAACACTCAAAAGAGACCAAAGGCTTAACATTTAAAGATGGGACAACATGTATATACAGTTTAATCCACTGACATTTCATCGAGGTGTTTCAGAGCTTCAAAGGCTAAGTCTCCTTTACAGCCAGGGAACCTGTCAGTTCAAAGGCTTTGGCTCTCTGCTGAAAACAGGTCAGAAGGAACATAAATAGTAGAGACACAGATATACTGTGCATTTTCACATTCAACAAAAAAATTGTCATTCCAAGCACTTTTTTCATTTCTGAGAGATAAAGCCTGAACTGTGAGGGAGATCGTCCACACCAGACTTCGTTTCTAACACCCACTGCTGCTTTCCTTTTCCACCAACCACCGTTGTCTCATCACACAGAGAAGAATACGAGACATTAGCGCTGGCTTCAGGCTGTAATCATCGTCCTTTTGTCAGAGAGGAGAGTCAGGACTTCACAGTTGCTCCTTTTTTTGGTCTTTGCTGCTCATCACTGTGGATGTGAATGATGAGATCAAAGGTGCAAAAATGTCACTGGTCAAGTGAGGAATCTTTCTCATCACCTCAGAGTGTGATCACACTCAAGGTGCCCGCCATGGCGAGGTGAGTCGTTTCTGTACAAACGCTCATATGGCGCGCGTGTGTACATTTGTTGGGCACACTGCTGGACGTCTGCATGTGTGAGCATATGCGTCCAATATTTTTGCAGCTCTGCCCATGAGGAAGTATTTAGTCGCACATGTGGAAAGGTAATCTGAGGTTGTCATTTGCAAGTCATGTTAAAGAACAAAAAAGTGGGGCAGATTGATAAAGAAATGCTTTTTCTCTGCAAATTTTTCTCTGTTAAATTTGGCCCCATTCTGGCACAACAGCAGCTGCTGGGAGCTCAGAGAAGCAAGGTGGAGGAAAGAAAAAGGAAAGGAGGAGAGAGACGATGTAAGAGAGGGAGAGAAAGAGATGGAGATAGAGCAAAAGAGGAGAACAAGAGAAGATGACTGAAGGCAGGACTGGGGAGTGAAAGGTAGAGACAGATCACAGAGGGAAAAAATAATAAGGAGAAAGGCAATGTAGAGGCTATGCCATGTATTGCACCGTCCCCTCCATCCTCTGTCGGATGTGTTGGGGGAACGGGCCGTAAAAGACGGGGTTCAGTGCGAGTGAGTGATAGAAGGAAAGATGGGGGAGGACAACCTCAGCTTTCCTAAACTCACATTGGTGCGTTGGGCTCTGTGCCTCTTCACCGCCTGTCTATCACTTCTATTCCTGACACCTCAACGTCAGAGGAGAGTGGAAACCGACGCAGTGGCACTGACAGCAGGATATAGGATAATGGCGGGGGCTCAAGCTCCAGTTCATGTCAAGAGCTACTGAAAGGGAATTTAGCAGAAAGAGTGGGGAAACTGGTGTGCGGGTCTGTGTGGATATGTGTGTGAGCTCTGTGTTCCCTTCTGAGAATGACTGATGCCACGACTGTAGTCCAGTCAACACTGACCTGCTCCACCCAGACTCCAGATCCTTCCTCGGGAGCCCAGAGGATCATGGTTTTGTCCATGGAAGCAGAAAGCAGACTAAGAGGCTGCTGCAGCTCCCCACCTGCAGGGAGAGAGAAA